CTCCTTTTGAACTATTATAAGCTTTAAATTATTGTAAATATCAGTCATTTATCTGCCCCACTGTGACCCTGGAACATTGTGCATATGTGTGAGAAAAACTTCTGAAAACCCCCTGAAAAGTAGAGGTAATGACAGATTAAGGATCATCTGCTGCTTTGCCACTTCACATGGCAGACAACACTGTTTATAGCATACTCCAGTGCTCCGTAAGGCTTTCACTTCTGTCTCCATGCTCTGGGTGTTCCTAAACCTTTGACTGCCAGAAGGGATCACTTGAAAATTGCCCTGTTCCGTTTCCTCCCTCAGAAGCATCTGGCACTTGCCACTGTTGGAAGACAGGAAACTGGACTATATGGGCCATTGGTCTGACCCAGTATGGCTGTTCTTATGTTTTTATGTCCAACAGATACTGAAAAGCGATACATACCCCAACTTCATGAAACTTATCTTCTAGCATAGAGCCTTAACGGTGGCCTCAGCAATGTTAAGGCAGAATAACATCCCAAATATATCAACAGAGAGTCCTGTGGCACCTTTAAGACTAACAGATGTATTGGAGCATAAGCTTTCGTGGGTGAATACCCACTTCATCAGACGCATGCCAAATATATGACATCTGTGCCTGATATGCTGATCTGTTGATTCAAGAGCATCTTTGGCCCTATTCTCCATCTTTTTTTTATTTTAATGTCATCCTTAGTTTTCTTTTTTCTGTGTAGTTTCATTTCTTTTAAATGTTTGTTTTTCCAAAACACTCTTTCTGTAGGACTCTCTTTCCACTTTGATTGTTTCCCCAGATCCCACAAACAGCCCACATCCCCATAGTCTCTCTCCCCTCGTTTCCCCCTCTGCCCTGTTCAGATCTCTTGGAATGGGGCTGGAGTACATGCCTTAATTGTCCCCTAAATGCAAGTGACTGGATTATTGAGAGAATAACTGTGAATGAGATTATCTGGGGAAGTCAGGTTTGCTTACAGCCTGGCAGCAGCTTTCAACCAAGCAACATTGAAAGTGTCTGGTTACTCACACCTCACTTAGCCTGTCAGCTCCAGCAGACAACCCATATGTCTGTGAATCTACACTAAAATGTCAACATTAAGGGATGAGAGGGTACTATTTTGTTGTACAGGCACATGTGCAAAGCTTTAAAGCTCACAGAGCATTACAGAATCAACAAAGGTCTTCCGGCAGGGCCAGCTCTGTTCTTCCCCCTTCCTTATCATCCCCATCTTCTACAAATGTTTTGAGTTTTGTTTTGGTTAAAAAGAGATCCCTCTCTGTCTCCAAGGGGCAGTTCATAGACTGGCTCAGCTGCAAAGGCTGTAACTGCAGAAGCAAAAAAGTCTTTACAGTTCTGGGCCTGGGTAACCGAGTAGATTGAGGGATGCGCTACCATTCCTGAGTTGGTTAGTTCAAACCTTAAGTAATATTCCTTTGTGTCTTTTGACCAAATAAGTGACCCAAAAGGGTAAGAGGAAGGGACTGGGAAAGAGATAAAAAGGGGAAAGCGAAAAAAGGCAACAAATATATAAATTAATAAAGAAACCCATCTTGGATTTATATCATTTTTTCCCTCTTAGAACAGAGCTTTCTTCCAAAGATTAGACCTTCAATTAGGTGGACTCAAAACTGAAAGGAGAGAGGTGTTCCCATGGATTTCCAAGTATCTCTCCTTCATCCATCCTGCCACTTCTCCTGCCTCTGGACCACTAAACACTCAGTGAAGAACAGCAGAGGACACCCAAGAAATGAAGGTTACTTGTAACTGGAGTTCTTCGTGATGGATTCTGCATGGTGACACTCCTTGCCCACCTTCCCTGCTCCTCTGGAGTACAAATTAAGATGTCTGCGTTTTTCTGCGTTAGCAGTGGAAGGAACTGAGGTTGCAATAGTGCCACGGCCTCTTTACCCTCAAGCCCTTAGAACACAATGGAGTGCTAGACAGGGAGGGCCGGGGAGCCTGGGTGCTTAATGGGCACTGCTACTGAAAGGTTCTACCATCCCTGCATTGGTTGACACAAGTCCCAAGAGTGTGAATATGCAGTCCATCTCAAAGAACTCTTGTTACAAGTAAGTAACCATTTCTCCCGTAACAGGTACTCCTTTTACTGAAGATTTTTTTTTGAGGGGATGTTTGTTCATTCTGGACTCTTTTTGGAAAGAAAGGGAACAAACAGACTTCACCAGTGCTGGTTCTGTCCAGGCTGATTGATGGTGTTCAAGGCCCGATTCTTCATGAAGTGCTGGTCTTTCTGATAAAGAATTCTCCTCAGGATTTTCATTGTCCTACAAGGAAGACTGTATGCATGTGCTAGTTTGCCTGTGGTACCAAACTACTTGCACTTTGTAAAATTGTGGCCCCATTTTCAATTCCAGGCCTTCACTTTTCTCCTATTCCTTGTTTTCTCATCAGTTTGATGGTGTCTCTGCTGAGCAGTCTATAACAGGATGATCATAGGCAACTCCTTTATAGCCCACCCTTATGAAATAGTATCTGCACATATTGATGAGGTCTTTCAGCTGCTTGCATCCTTCACTTCTTTATATATGTTTCAGAGGAATGCCTTAGTGCCCTGCCAGGATCTGGCCCACCTCTAGGCATTCTGTGAGACATTTGTGGTTCTAAACCAGTTGCCCAGAAGGATGTTATAATTTGTATTTCTTCTGGGAACTCCTCGAGTACTTTCTATTCAGAGACTCTAGTTACTTTTGTTAGGACAGTTGCTGGATTTGGAAACTGTTCCATGGTGGTGATGCATTTTTGTACTTTACAAAATATCCTGATTATGTTCACTATCAGGAACCAGATTATCTTCTGCGCACCTGAGTAAGCTCAGGTTGACCCTATACAATTCTAGGCAAATGATTGTCCCAGGAAGATGATCACAACAGTGTCCTAGGGTTTTAAGCAGTTAAGAAGATGGTTTTCTCTCTACTAGTGAGATTTCTACTGGACTTGATTGTGGTTCATATGAGAAACAACAGTAAGACATCTATTGCATACTGGCACTTTCAGGCTGGAGCAAGAAAATAGAAGTTAAAAGTTCTGAATGAAGCAAGGGGAAATTCTCTTGCTCCTGAGGCAGATGGTTTTGTTTGTTTATTACTTAGATGGCTTGTTTATAGTAGTACCCACTGGGTGCTTTCAAAAGCCTCATTTAGGCTGTTCTGGGGAGCTCACAACTTAAGGCATCTCAGAGTTAAAATCACCTACATTTTAGCAAAAGAGAAACCTATAGGTCAGCTTTCTAAGCACATGCCACTTGGGCAAATGAGAATGGGAACTAAATAATTAGTCTTCACGCAGTTAACAGAAATGTAGTGGTACAGAGACCCATAGTCTCTCAGACGCCTGCATATGTCAGTTCAGCATTCCTAAACGTCCTGGACTGGGAAAAATTAAATTCCAGGATTCTCTTAAACTCCCAGATTTAAAGCACTTTGAGATTCTTAGCTTGGAACCTGAGGGGTTTTGCCTGTTAGAGCGATGAATATTCAGGAGAGCTTGTAAACTTAGAAACTGTCCCCAAATCTGGACATTTCAAGAGATTCTGAAAATTTGATCCTCATGGTGACCTTTAAAGGACAAAAATCGCATGTGGCCTCACAACCAGGGATATATTGAAATTCCTTCTCTTAAACTGAGATCTTGATTGGGTCTGATTCCCAGCTTCCTGAAGGTCCAAAACTCAATGTTAGGAGTCTTGGAGCATATTGGTTCCATTTCTAACCTGTTTTGGTAGCAACTTCACATTTTCTAATTCCTGAAAGCTGTGTCTCTGTAGAGATGCCATTTTGACTATGGTTTGATGTAATCTCTGAACCTTCATTTACTGAGAGGACCTTCTCTGTAGTTTCCATTAAAATATTGTTTTTCCTGTTAGCAATTATGTTGACCAGAAGAGTTAGTAAAATCAGGTGCCGTACCTATCTGGAATACTTACAATTTTTCCCAGATGAGATAATTTTCAGGCCTGCCTCAGAATTTTGTCCTCCAGAATTATGGTTTTAACTTGATCCAGTCTATTTGCCTTCTTTTAATCAGTCATGGACTTTAATTATGGTCGGGATATTCAAATTCTGTTTATGCATAACTAATCCTTGCAGGAAATTAGATTCAAGTTCAGGAGTAGATGAGTGACCTAAGAAAGGGTGCAAAGCATCCATATCCGCTATTTCCAGATGGATAAATTCAAGGGTTTCTCAGGCCTACAAAATATCATAAAAGATCCCATCTTCTTCTGTGAGGGCTCAACATGTGGCCATTTCCTGCACAGAGCAGCATAGTGCTTCATTCAAAAATTTTTGCAGTGTGGTTGTCTGGTCTTCAGTGCATTTCTTTATCATTTTTAAAATAGATGTGTTGTCTTTGTCTGATATGACGCTTGCACAAAAGGTTCTTAGTCTTTCCCTTTCCATTTTGTAGCTAGAAAGAGAGTTTTTAAGGAGCCTCTCTCTGTGCTTGGAAGATGAGAAAACAATAAACCAGTTATCATGGAGCAGAAGGTGCTCATTTCAGAGTAGGAAAAAATACTGATAGATAAGTAAATTTCACCTATTTAACTTCTTTGGTTCTGTTCCTTATAACTAATGTCGTGAAAAATTAACCCTATATTTACAATGGAAGCGCTTAATCCTGTAAGATAGAGAGTACTTTAAGAACAGCAAAACATTTAAGCACTTTCTTAACTTGAGCACTCACATTGACTTCAGTGGGACTATTTTGCATAAAATTAAGCACATGCTTAAATACTTTACTTTATTGGAGTCAGAGTGCTTAGTACCTTGCAGGATTGAACCTTAAGGCATAGAGATGAAGCATGGAGGGTGCTGATTTAATTTTTTTAGTCACATACATGTGTATTTCATTTTGCTTAAATAATTTAACTCATTTTTATTTCCTTTTCAGAGACAGGATAAGGAACCCTGAAAAGACCCTTACTGTATCTTCATTTGACTTGTGGAGGCTGAGTATTAACACTTACTCTCTTGCATTGCAGCTGGGTGTGTTCCATCATCATGTTCTGGAAGTTTGATTTGAACACAACATCACATGTGGACAAGCTGCTGGATAAGGAAGATGTGACACTGCACGAGCTGATGGATGAAGATGACATCCTACAGGAGTGCAAGGCACAGAACCGCAAACTGCTGGACTTCATCTGCCAGCAGCACTGCATGGAGGAGCTGGTTAGCCTCATCACACATGAGCCCCCCGTGGACATGGACGAGAAGGTCCGCTTCAAGTACGTACACAGATTCTTTCTTTTATGGGAAGAAAAATGAACTGAAGAATTGGCTGCAGAAATTCTTCTCTGGTGCAAGGCTGATGAAACCTCCTGCCTTGGAAAAAGGCCTTGAGGTGCAGGTTGTGAAATAAATATTTGGCTATTTTGTGATTCACAGTGAATATTACCTCACAATATTCTATTTCTTGCTCTGTTTTTCATATTACTCCATTGAGTTTATATGCAGTGTTTTATCTAAAAATTCATCTCTTCTGTTTCTTTTAATTGGAAACTGGCAGTAGAGAGATCATTTGTGTTTCAGAAGCTCTCCCAGGCCATCATTCTGCGGTCAGAATCCCAGAAATGACAGTAATGATGCTCATTGAGGTATAGGTTCATTGAGGGCCATTGACTTAAAATTGATACAATCCATAAAATATAGGGACCTCTCCCAGGAATAAAGTTTTGGAATTTGTGGAGTCTGCATACATAAAAATGGCAGAATTAGAAGGTGCACTAAAATAGTAAATACACTTTTGGATTAGGGTGTGTGGAAAGAGCTTGTTCCTTTCTGTAGTGTTTGCTTATTGTGTTGAATTGTATTTACACATGCATGCTTCACTTATTACTCTTTTCTAATGTGATCAAACTCCTTTGTTTTGGAGTTGGGGAATTCGCTGTTTTTTTTCTTTGTTAAATTTATGTCAGAAATCTTGATGTACATGTGCAATTGTATGTGACTGTGCTCTTGGGGATTGATCAGGGGTTAGTTATTACCATTGTCACTAGAAATCTATATCTCACTATCTTAAATACGCATTAAATTAACACTGTCTACAGTGACAGTATTCGTAACTTAATGTGTATGTAAGATAGTGAAATGTTTTTGTGTGTGAATATATTCAGGCATGTGAATGTCATGAAACAATGTGAAAAGTTACTGTATTCTTGTGGCTACTATGGTAATATTTCTGTTATAAAATCTGAGACGTTAGAAGGAACCAGGAATGGTTATTATTAGATTGTCATTATTTTACGAATGAAGATTTGTATCAAATAACTTGTAGTACCAGAGTTTATACAGGCAACATTATTATGGCTTTCTCCATTTTCTTTTACATTCCAGAATAATATGCATTGGTGAGGCTAATCTTCAGAGTCCTTAATGGAGCCCTCCACCCATTTCCCCCCTTTCTGGCTAAGGAGGACTGGGCAGGATTTGCTTTAGGAGTCCATTAGTGCTACTGCTTAATGAGATGGAGTGATGTTGAGCAATGTGAGGCAAACTAGGGTCTAAGCATGTTCTGGGGGTATGAGTGATCAGTGCCAAGAAAATAAATCCACGAGTTTCATATGTCAGGGCAGAGCACTGTAATTTCTCCATTTAACCAGACCTAGTTCTTTAAGTTTTTCTTTTCATTTTTTCGTGGTTGTCATCAGCATCACTGCTCAGCATCGTCACCAGACAGTTAGTACCTCTAATCTTTTTGCTGAGAGGCAGAAGAGAAAACCTCTTCTTAGTCCTGCACCTTGTTTGCAAAGGGATCTGTAGAATTTTAAGGTTTATTTAAACTGTGCCATTATATGTGCATGACGTTTCAGACAAAACAATGGCGGGTTACTGCTCCAAGGAGTTTATAGTCTAAACTAGATGTAACAGCCTGGGATGACTCTAAACTAAGGGTGAAGAGAGTGAGAGTTACAAATAAGAAAGATCATGAGATATGCTCGTTATTGTCTTCTCATCTTAAACTGTGTGCATGAAGTCTTACGAGTTTTAGACTTTGTGCATTTGCCTTTGTGTAGTGTGGTTTTCCTTCCAACCTCCGAACCATTCCCATACTTTCTGAAAGCTCATATTTCAACATGGGTGAAGTGTGTATATATAATACAATCTTTGTGTTAGTGCAAACATGGGTGAATTGTGTATATCATACAGTCTTTGTGTTAGTGCAAAGTTATCAGCTAATCTGAGAGCTATTTAGTAAACTTCCTCTCTCCTTTCTCTCTGGATGATTTATTCTTGAAGCTAAATTTAGTATAATGGTTCGTCTACACACAAAAGTTGTATGACTTTAACTGTGCTGGTATAATTAAAGTGCTGCAACCCCCCGATTGCGGATACAGTTATACCAGTATTAAGATGCTTTATACTTGCATAGTGATTTCCTTATTGTGTTCACATTAGGGGTTGGTCCAGTATAAAACTATTTTGGTAAAAAATCATCCTCTCCCCAACTGAAATAGCTTTACTGATACAAGAACTGCCAGAAGACCCGGCCTAAGGGAGTAGCAGCATACCTGTCTAAAGTCATCTGAGAAGCAAATGCTACTTGGAGTTTTCACAGAGCCTCACCTAGGTGGAAGTGGAACTGCTCAGCAGTTTGTGGGGTTTTTTTGGTTTGTTTTTGTTTTTTTGAGTGCTTGCAGATGTGTATTCCACTTAACACGCCCAGCACATCAGATCTGGAGAACTTTGCCTATCAGTACCCATAGGGTTGGCGCTTACCTCCACTCTCCCAATAGCTCCTTCTCTGGCTATTTAAGGACAGTGCCACCCCGATCCTTCTTAGTTCATTCTCACAGTTCGTAGCTAGAGTTGGAGTGTTCTGTGTGGTAATGCATCTCAAAGTTCTCTAACTCAGTCTTTCTGGGATGTTGTATGTAGTTAATAGTATAGTTTAGTAGTACCCTTAGCTTTAGTGAGTAGTAGTTAGTTAAGATTGATAGTTATCTGGTGTCTTGCTGTCACAAGGTGCAGCTGTCACTACCCAGTGAACCTCTCTGCTTAGCCAGTTCAGATGGTTTCACAGTCACAAACGCACACGAGGCCGTTTAGCTTTCACCAAGGTGTGCATTTATTTCCTTCTTACATAACAATTCCGTGCAACACTGGCTATAGCCAAGACAGGCTTCCCTGCAGCCCTTACTTCTCAGCCCAGGCTCACCCTCTGAGTTTTCTTCTGAGTGCCTCTTGCGCTCCCTCTTACTTCCTGTTTTCTCCTTCTATTCTCCCCAGTTATCTTGTTAGCCCTGTGATTGTCACCCCGGTGCTCACAATTCCCCATCAGAAAGCATGTAATTGCCCTCAGCTGGTCCTGCAGCCTTCTCCAGGATGCAGCACTGTAAGTGACCAGGGTGCTGCTGATAGCACCCTGTTACAGATGCCCACATTGTCCATTGCGTGGGGTGGTTATCCCCACTAGTGACCCCTACATGCGATGTTAGTTGTGCCTGGGAGAAGAGCACATTAAAGAAAGGTGCTCCATCTGCAGATCATTGAAGAAAAGAACCCAGCTGACGAGGGACTTGTGTTTGAAGCAGCACCTTCTGAAGCAGGCCATGAGGCCCACTGATACTGGCGACCTCCACAGATTGTTAGCTCCCCTTGAGGATGTCCGAGTGGGCACTGGCTGTTGTTTAGCCAGATTCAGATTCCTGTCCTAGGAGGAAGAGAGACTGTTCTCCTTTCTCTGGTCCTCCTAGACAAAGATCTCATAAAATGGACTGGGGCTGTTCCAGAGCTAGGAGGTATTCCTCCTTCCCATATAAGAGGAGTGTAGACCAGTATCATGGTTCATCCAGTATGTGAGATAGAGCAGGGCCATCTACCTGCTCTCTGGTGTCAAGGTAAGAGCAAGTGGACTTGATATCATTGACACTGGTACTGTCTGTGGGGCATCTGTTGAGTCCAGTACCAGTGATGTCGGTGTTGGACCCAGGGTTTCCACACCACCATTGGACTTACTTTTCCTGTCTGTTCCTGATTCTCCTCTAATTCGAGAATGTTTGGCTGTGGTTGCTGCTGCTTTGGTGTCCTCAGTGCTGTCTAAACTGATTGCACACCTGCTGTTATTGTTGGTGCCATCTTCTGGGCCTCTCCCTGTTCACAGTGCTGAATTGAGGTTGCTGCTTTTTCCGTACTGAGGGGATTGTCAGTGCAGGCATGATCTTCGGTGCCGATGATGACTCCAGTGCACATTTCATGTGTGGGAACGTGCCGGTTTCGACTTTGGTGCTGACGTCTACTCCAGTGTCGCGTGTGAGGCCTTTATCAGTGTTTCAGGCACCGACTCCTTTATCTTTGTCAGAATTGATGTGTCCTTTGTGCTGGACTTTGGATGAAGTTAGACATTTGCTGGCCGCTCCTGGGACAACTCCTCTGTTGCCTGTGGACTACTTGGAAGGATCCTCAGGGTTGGACTCAGAGATGTTCTCCTTTTCTTCCATGCCACCTTGTTATCCCTTTCGAAAGTTGTTGACCTCCTGGGGATCACTGTTGGTACAGAGATCGGCACTGCTCCCAGAGCAGAGATAAGGTCCTTGGCCCAGTTCCTGCTGGCCACCAGAGCCATACTCCTGCCCACAGTGGCTCCTTGGAATCACTAGGATTTTCTGTGGTTGGCTTGGTCTTGATCCTCGATGCAGCCCAGAGCAAGGTCACCTATTCCTCCAGTAGCCTTTTCTCCTCAACCTCCATCACTGCAACCACAGTTTAGCGGTTGCTCCTGCGGAACTGGTTCAGCCTGAACTGTTACAGGCACCACAGGAGGTTCGATTGGCTCTACTTCTTTCCTCTCATTCATCAGAAGATGACTCTGCAAAGCCAGATTCTTCCTTCCCTGTACCTTAGGATTTTAAATCGTACCAGGACCTTCTGAGATGCATGGCTTCAGCGTTGGGTATTCAGGCTAAGTTTGTTCAGGAGAACACAAGTTGCTGGATATTCTGCAATCCTCAGATCCAGGGAGAATAAATGAAGTGATCTTGGAACTGGCAAAAACTTTTTGGAACACGCCAGCGCCCTTACCACCCACAGCAAAGCATACCAATAAGAGATACTATGTGCCTCTGCATGGTTTCAAGTGCTTCCACTCGTATCTGGCATCTAACTCTCTTGTCGTAATGGTGGCTAATGAGAGGTTGATACAGGGGAGATATAAGTTGACACCAAGGACAAGGATTCTAAAAGATTGAACTTGTTGGGGAGGAAAATTTATTCTACCTTATTCTTACAAATGCACATTACCAATAAGCAAGCACTCTTATTAAAGTATGACTTTGTAAATTGGAAATCAATGGCAAAATTTACAGGTAAGTTGCCAGAATCCTCCAGGAAAGAGTTTTAAGGCTTTCATTGCAGAAGGTCGTCTAGTGGTGAGGATATCGCTGCAGTCAGTTTTGGACATGGTTGACACTTCCTCTAGAATTACAGCCTCCGCTGTAACAAGGAGAAGGTCTTCATGGTTGCAGAACTCTGGTATAGTTCCTGAGGTCCAACAGATGATTGAGAACCTTACCCTTTGATGTCCAATTTCAGTTTTCAGGGATAACTGACAAAACATTACATTCCTTTAAGTCCTTTCAAGCTAAGCTGTGTTCATTGGGGGGTTTTACACTGGTAATAGAGGCATCACTTCTTGGGGCGACAACACCAATATCGCCTTCAGCGGTTCCTTAGGTTATATTATCCCGCTAAACACAAGGGGCACAAGTCTCATAGGAGAAGGTTTTCTGGTGCCAATTTTATTCAGTCAGCCTATCCTTCATCAGCTTCAGGCAAGCAGCCAATCTGACTCTCCAGTGTTGGCATTCCAATCGTTGAGTTTCAAGCCATTTCCCCTCCGTCTGGGGTTAGACTATCCCACTTCCACAAGGCTTGGGAGTTGATAACTATGGACAAGTGGGTCCAAAGCACCATGAGACTGGGTTATGTTATTCAATTCCTGTCCATTCCCCATCCCTTTTCAGCGACCCCCCTCTCAAGACCCTGCTTCTTCACCAGGTGTAAGCTCTCCAGACTTCAGGGGCCATAGAAGAAGTTCCTCTTCAGAACTGGGGAAAGGGATTCTACTCTCAGTACTTCTTCATTCCCAAAATCCCAGGGAGGGATGAGACCTAGCCTCAATCTCCACAGTCTTAACAAGTACATCAAATATATGAGATTTCGCATGGTTACCCTAGCGACTATTTTTCCCTCTTTGAATCACAACAGTTGATTTGCTGCTCTCAATCTTCAGGATGCTTCCTTCCATGAGGTGATTTTCCTAAGCCACAGGAGGTTTGAGATTTCTAGAGGCAGGTGAGCATTATCCGTACACTGTGCTTCCTTTTGGGCTGTCCTCTGCTCTGTGGGTATTTACCAAATGCATGACTGTAGTAGCAGAATATCTCCGAATAAGAGGGATTCATGTCCTTCCATCCCTGGACAATTGGTTAGTGAGAGTCCAGTTCACACTGTCTCTTTGATTATCTTAGCCTGATTTTGAACAAAGGAAAGTTGATGTTAATATCAACTCAAAACATTGAGTTAATTGGTGCCCTACTAGACTCTGAGTTTGAGAGCATTTCTGCTGAACGATTGATTTCAAGCAATTTGTCTCCTGTGTCTAGCACTCCAATCTCAACCTTCACCTATGGTTCATGTATTCCTGAAGTTACTAGGCCATATGGCCGCAAGCACTTGCAAGTCCAGCATGTGAGATTGCTCCATCATCCTCTTCAAGTGTGGTTGAAATTAGTCTATCGCCCGAGGCAATCACAATGATGACATATGAAATAGCTCAGACCACGTCTCTGTAGAGGTTACAGGCACATTCAGTGAGGGCCCAAGTGACATCAGTAGCATTCTTCAGTGATGCTATTGACCTAGAAGCAGTAGTAAACTTTGAAGGCAGTTCTGCAGTCGTTCTTTAAGTAACCTCCGAGCCCCACCTCCTACTGTTACAGCTTGTGAGTCACCTGAGCGAAGTACATGTCTGCAGCCACTTGAAGAAGACTGTTGTCTACCTGTACAGTAACTGTTGTTCTTTGAGATGTGGGTGCAGACGTGTATTCCACGACCCGTCCTCCAGCGCCACTGCATTGGAGTCCCAACTCTTGACATTCGCTGTGAAGGAACTGTGGGGGTAGGAACCTGTGCTGCCCTTAAATATCAAGGGGAGGCGTTATTGGGCAAGAGGGCACAAGCACAGCCCTATGGATACTGCTGGGCAAAATTCTCCGGCTTTGATGCTCTGGGTGCATGCACACCTGAGCGGAATACTTGTCTGCACCCGCATCTCAAAGAACAATAGTTACTGTACAGGTCGGTAGCTATCTTTTGTCTTCTAAATTGGAGACACGCAGGCCACTGACTTGGAAGGGCTGACATTTTCCTTTCGTTCTCGCGGTGTCACCGCTGATTTATTGGGCTCTGTCTTAGTGCCTGGAGAATCATAGCCTGTAAATATAATTGGGGCAGTAACTATTGTGACCTTTATCAGTTATGCCCGTTTGGGGCTTAAATTGAATAATTAACCCTTCTCAGAAGCTGACAACATTCCACAAAGGGCCCAGTGGAATTTTTATAAGACATTAAATCACACATAGAAGAACAATCTTGCAGCCCTTATCCTGGCTTGTAAAGGATGTTGAGCTGCGTTTTTGGTTAAATATTTTCTGTGGGAGCTGTAATGTGAGTTTAATATCTATTAGAGTTAGCTTGAAATAGAAATCTACAGATAAATTTGCAATAGTGCGTGCACACAGTCAGCACTAGCAGTGACTGTCACTCCCTTATCTGCCGACAGTACATTTGACACACAAACTAACACAATTTTTGAGGAGTAAATGCTTAGAAGATAGTCAATAGGTGTTGCTGTGGAGCTAACCAATTGTTTTGTTTACTTTTTTTCATTAGTTTTTTTTTTAACGAAACAGTTTGAATAGAAAATGTTGTATCTATTTTAAGAACATGAGAACGTCCATACTGGGTTAGATCTAAGGTCCATCTAGCCTAGCATCCTGTCTTCCAACCGTGGCCAATGCCAGGTACCCCAAAGGGAATGAACAGAACAGGTAATCATCAAGCGATCCATCCCCTGTCGCTCATTCCCAGCTTCTGGTTTCATTGGATTTCCCCCTCTCCCCTTTCTTCTTCCACTGGAACGCAAATCGTTGTGTTGGTTTTTAAGAGAACCATACACCTTCCCAGTATACTGAGCATTCATTTTTTTTTTTTAGATTTTTCATTAGATAGCATATTTGGATTGATTTGGTCAAAACTTTGTAATAGGCTGGGTGCTGAAAAAGCAAGTAAGTTGGCAAAAGTTGGTCAGTATCTAATGATACAAAAGAGTGATAGGCCTTGTTTAACTAATAGACGGTGAGGATTTTATTATCCAGTTCTTGTATTTTACTTATAGAATTGCAGGTGCTTTCTTTGGATGATGTGTGTAGCATTTTGTAGTTGAGGAATGAATATATTCACTTACAAAGTGAGAGGGTTATGTTTCTTTTCCAAAACTTCTTGGTTTGTTTCCCAGTGTATTCTCGGGAAAAAAAACCCCCAATTTTGGGGCTGGGGTGCAGAGAGGGGTTTGGGAAGGGAAAAAATTGCCAACTCTGCTAGTAGTGGAAAGAGGGTCCAGATAGAAAACCCACAGGTTCTATTTCTTCTCCCTCTCTTGTGACCACAGAGTTCCATTGGGAAGTGGCATGGGATGGGATGGTAGCTCTGCAGGGATCTCAGCATTCAGAGCTGTTTTCACTGTAACTGGCCTATTCATCTCCTCAAGAGCACTCCCACCTCTCCATTGCCAGGCCATCTCTCTCCCCTTTTTTGGGGAAGGAGATTCATTCTCATGCTGCCCTAAATGCAGCTACAGATATTTGTCAGGGATGGGTGTTGCTGCCCCCCTTCCTCCAGCTCTCAGTGTGCCTGGTGCACTCTTGGGATCTCCTAAGTGAGCCTCTGAGAGTCACTTGTAGGTGGGCAGATTGAGTTGGGCATTGCTTGAGGATACCCGTCCAAAGCTGGAGTTCTGAAGTGAGTTCTTGTATCATAAATGGATGGAGGAATTTGTGTTGTGACTTTATTTCATAGGAATTATTATTTTGGCTGTCTTCTAAGAATTTATAGAAGGCTCTAATCTCACCTTCAGTTGCTGCTTTGGTTCTGTCTCTCTAGATATCCGAATACAGCCTGTGAACTCCTGACCTCTGATGTGCCACAGATCAACGACAAGCTAGGAGGAGATGAAACTTTATTGAACATTCTGTATGACTTCTTGCATCACGAGCCGCCTTTGAACCCTTTGCTTGCCAGTTTCTTCAGCAAGACTATTGGGAATCTCATTGCAAGAAAAACTGAACAGGTAGTGATTGAGTCTGTTTTGATACAAACACACTGATTACTAGTGGTTGTATGAGCACTGAACTGGCAATTTCTTCCCTCCTCCCCAGAGGAGGAAAATGCTGAGCTTTGTAGATCTGGTGTGGATTGCTGGAATTGGGAATGGAGTATGCATTTTGTAAGGCATCTTGTCAACCCTACCATTTTGATGTGTGTGAATTGTTTATGCACCTAGCAACTAGTACAGGGGTCGGCAACCTTTTAGAAGTGGTGTGCTGAGTCTTCATTTATTCACTCGAATTTAAGGTTTCGCGTGCCAGTAATACATTTTAACGTTTTTAGAAGGTCTCTTTCTATAAGCCTATAATATAGAATTAAACTATTGTTGTATGTAAAGTAAATAAGGTTTTAAAAATGTTTAAGAAGCTGCATTTAAAATTAAATTAAAATGCAGAGCTCCCCGGACCGATGGCCAGGACCCAGGCAGTGTGAGTGCCACAGGTTGCCTACCCTTGAATTAGTAGATAGCTTTCACTTTTGCTTCAGAGGGGCAGTTGTCTGGGGTATTGCACATTGCCCATACTTTGATGTTTTAACATATAAACTTGTCATACAAGTATTGTGCATACAGCTAAGAGGCTTGGAATATTTGCCATACAGTATTATGGGGATGAGTTATAATAATAATAATAATATTGGAGTTAACTCCATTCCAAATTTGACTTCCTTTTAACATGGAGATATTTTATACAAAGGAGCCTCAGTGGGATTAAAAATTCTTCAGCTTCACCCGTGTCCTCAATCTCCATATATCTCAGTGGAATAGGATTTCTTTGGGATATGACAAAGGATTGTTAATGGAGCTCTGTTTGGCATTTCCTTGCTTTCAGAAGTTCCTTTGCTTCCCTATTCTCTCTCAAGAAGAATTCTTTATCCTCCTAGCTGTTTCTCATTGTTTGGTTGATTGAAACACAAATTTGGGGAGTAATGAGAGCTCTGTGACGTCACCTCCATGTATTGTACAGAAAAGTCATGTTGCATTTTTTTCTTTTAAAGGTGATTGGATTTTTGAGAGATAAAGACCAATTTATTAGCCTGGTACTAAAGCATATTGATACATCTGCAATGATGGACCTGCTGCTTCGTCTGATCAGCTGCGTGGAACCAGCACCTCTACGGCAGGAAGTATTAAACGTGAGGCTTGCTTAACGTTTCTCTGTGCTTGGTGTGGGGGGGAAGAAAGCATTTCTGAGGAGATATTACTCAGTTTCAAGTAATACGAGAGTAAATTCACTCCTCTTCTAAAAACATATTTTTCTTGCTTGTGCTAAGAGCCACAGATCTGGTGCAATAGGTACGTCAACCCACTTGTAGTTTGGGGGCAGAATTAGGCCTGTCAGTCACTGGTAACAGGAATGCCCCACCTCCTGAAGATCCCATTGTTTGTTCCTGAGCCTCCAGTGAGCAGCAGGCTCAACAAGACCTCTTTGCTGCTGAGCTTTTCTGCGGGGAATTTCCAAACTTTATTTCATAGAATCATAGAATATCAGGGTTGTAAGGGACCTCAGGAGGTTATCTAGTCCAACCCCCTGCTCAAAGCAGGACCTAATCCCCAACTAAATCATCCCAGCCAGGGCTTTGTCAAGCCTGACCTTAAAAACCTCTAAGGAAGGAGATTCCACCACCTCCCTCGGTAACCCATTCCAGTGCTTCACCACCCTCCTAGTGAAAAAGTTTTTCCTAATATCCAACCTAAACCTCCCCAACTGCAAATTGAGACCATTACTCCATGTTCTGTTATCTGCTACCACTGAGAACAGTCTAGATCCATCCTCTTTGGAACCCCCTTTCAGGTAGTTGAAAGCAGCTATCAAATCCCCCCTCATTCTTCTCTTCTGCAGACTAAACAATCCCAGTTCCCTCAGCCTCTACTCATAAGTCATGTGCTCCAGCCCCCTAATCATTTTTGTTGCCCTCCGCTGGACTCTTTCCAATTTTTCCACATCCTTCTTGTGGTGTGGGGCCCAAAACTGAACACAGTACTCCAGATGAGGCCTCACCAATGTCGAATAGAGGGGAATGATCACGTCCCTCGATCTGCTGGAAATGCCCCTACTTATACAGCCCAAAATGCCGTTAGCCTTCTTGGCAACAAGGGCACACTGTTGACTCATATCCAGCTTCTCATCCACTGTAACCCCTAGGTCCTTTTCTGCAGAACTGCTTCCTAGCCATTCGGTCCCTAGTCTGTAACAGTGCATGGGATTCTTCCGTCCTAAGTGCAGGACTCTGCACTTGTCCTTGTTGAACCTCATCAGGTTTCTTTTGGCCCAATCCTCTAATTTGTCTAGGTCTCTCTATATCCTATCTCTACCCTCCAGCATATCTACCACTCCTCCCAGTTTAGTGTCATCTGCAAACTTGCTGAGAGTGCAGTCCACGCCATCCTCCAGATCATTAATGAAGATATTGAACAAAACCGGCCCCAGGACCGACCCCTGGGGCACTCCGCTTGAAACCGGCTGCCAGCTAGACATGGAGCTGTTGATCACTACCCGCTGAGCCCGACGATCTAGCCAGCTTTCTATCCACCTTATAGTCCATTCATCCATCCCATACTTCTTTAACTTGGTGGCAAGAATACTGTGGGAGACCGTATCAAAAGCTTTGCTAAAGTCAAGGAATAACACATCCACTGCTTTCCACAGAGTCAGTTATCGCCTCATAGAAGGCAATTAGGTTAGTCAGGCATGACTTGCCCTTGGTGAATCCATGCTGACTGTTCCTGATCACTTTCCTCTCCTCTAAGTGCTTCAGAATTGATTCCTTGAGGACCTGCTCCATGATTTTTCCAGGGAATGAGGTGAGGCTGACTGGCTTGTAGTTCCCCGGATCCTCCTCCTTCCCTTTTTTAAAGATGGGCACTACATTAGCCTTTTTCCAGTCATCCGGGACCTCCCATGATCACCATGAGTTTTCAAAGATAATGGCCAATGGCCCTGCAATCACATCCGCCAACTCCTTTAGCACCCTCAGATGCAGCACATCCGGCCCCATGGACTTGTGCTCGTCCAGTTTTTCTAAATAGTCCCGAACCACGTTTTTTCTCCACAGAGGGCTGGTCACCTTCTCCCCATGCTGTGCTGCCCAGTGCAGCAGTCTGGGAGCTGACCTTGTTCGTGAAGACAGAGGCAAAAAAATCATTGAGTACATTAGCTTTTCCCACATCCTCTGTTACTAGGTTGCCTCCCTCATTCAGTAAGGGGCCCACACTTTGCTTGACTTTCTTCTTGTAGCTAACATACCCGAAGAAACCCTTCTTGTTACTCTTAACATCTCTTGCTAGCTGCAACTCCAAGTGTGATTTGGCCTTTGTGATTTCACTCCTGCATGCCTGAGCAATATTTTTATACTCCTCCCTGGTCATTTGTCCAATCTTCCACTTCTTGTAAGCTGCTTTTTTGCATTTAAGGTCAGCAAGGATTTCACTGTTAAGCCAAGCTGGTCGCCTGCCATATTTACTGTTCTTTCTACACATTGGGATGTTTTTTTCCTGCAACCTCAATAAGGATTCTTTAAAATACATGCAGCTCTCCTGGCCTCCTTTCCCCCTCATGTTGTTCTCCCAGGGGATCCTGCCCATCAGTTCCCTCAGGGAGTCAAAGGCCTTGGCTACACCCGGGAGCTCTCGCAGCGCTGTATGTACTCCACCTCTCCGAGGGGAATAGCT